AGATTGTCAAATCTTGCCAAAACAGGGTAAGATGGTTCTAAAAATTTCCTGCCTCTAAAAATGGTCTGTCAGTTCCATTAGGTCTTAGCTAAAGTTGGTTGCTTCAACACTGCAAATGAGACTTTGGGTGGTTGCTCAGGGAGCTAATTGTCTCTCTCATAATGTGCTTGATTGCACTTCCTGTTTACTTCAGTAATATTATTTCCCTTCTCAGACCTTCAATAGGGTTGAAGATTAGGTAGTCATAGTTACCTTCCTCTTATGATTTAGCCAAGCTTATTTCCGATGCAAGATTTAGACTCTTTAAAATAGAATGTTTATTAAAACTTTTGTCATGTGTTCCTTGCTTAATATTGCTTATGTTGTTTGCAACTTTATACTTGATATCTGTTCCTATTGTATATAGTTTTATACTGGGTTTGGATCACTCTTGTTTAGACAAAAGGGGGCGATGATGGGAAGCCTTGTTAGCCAATCATCTTTAAGAGGTGAGTCTTAGTTAGGGCATGGCTTCTCTGGGACCCAAGGTAAAACGTGTTCACCTCCAGGTGCTCTCTCTCTCTCTCTCTCTGCGCCTTTTCCCTCAGGACATTGTTGTGTTTTGATTTCTCATTTCCTGGTTTGTGAGTTTTCAAATTATAAAAAATAAAACATATTGTTTTATCCTTAGCTAGCCTGGTTTTTTCAACACTTATCCATTTGGCAACCCCACCTATAGTGTTCAAATTAGAGACCATATATAGGCCATATACGCTCCAAGTCTGAGTCCCCATTTTATCTGTTCCTTATTGGAGTTCCAAAAGTCAATTCATTTGTGTCCAAGTTCCATGCCTTCCTTGTAATATACTAACAAGGACCTGTACTCATTTCTCAGATACCAGCACAATGATTGTCACGTGACTGGCTCACCATCCAAGGTGATATTCTGTTATTCAGCCTCAACTGCTATTTCTCTGTGGTTGGGTGTTTGATCTGTTTCTCACATGTAATGCTGACACACAATTCTGTCTCAAAACCATTCATCAATTCATTTTTAACATAACCCTACCACTAAAACACACCTTGAAATGGCATGGTCAATAATAGAGTTAATGTGTGAGGTTACAGCTGTCTCATGAATGCTTCTCCATCTCTCCATCCTTATGTCTGAATCAAAATCAGATAAGGAAGGTTCACACATTATAATACTCATTATAGACTTAGATAAGTAAGGCTCACACATTGTAACACCCATTGCTTATTTTTAAGCCTATGAGTTTGCCTATCCTATGGACATAGTAATGTTAATACATAATATCAAGGTACAGTTATAGCATTATCAATATGAAAATTCCAGGATGGGATGCAGGTGATCCAGCTGCCATTTCTGGAAATGTAATTAATCGTGAGTGAAGGATGTGGCTTGAACATGTCCTCATGTGACTTAGGACACTTGGACCAGAAATACTAGAATCATCCTCAGTCACAGTGTGTCACATCAGCTAGTGCAATGTGGTCTGACTCTAAGATCTGATTTCTGTTCTCCATGTCTTTATAATCCAGTAGAGTACATGATCTTAATGGTTGAAAGGTTTCCACAATGTCATATTAAAGGTAGCATCTCACAGATGCCTGCAGATTGGGCTGTTGAAATTTTTAGGTTCTAGTTTGTTATTATCCAGATCTAGACACTACCTATAAATTCATGAAAACAAGCACAGGGAACATACATTCTAATTGGGCAGCCAAAGTTCCCAAGTCCTTTAGCATGGACTGTGCAAGCACAGTGAGGTTTGTTTGTTTGCTTAGACTATTTGTAGACAGGATCTTGCTAAGTAGTCCAGACTGTTGACACTCATGGCAGTCTTCCAACATCAGCCTCCAGAATACTGGAACTATAAATATGTATCCACTTGCCTAGCAGTTATGAATTTTATGAAGTTTCCCTGTATCTTGCATGGTGTAAGGCGATGTGGTCATTTCTGTAGCATATGCTCTCCTTTCTAGAAATCATAGCTACTTTTGAAGTTTGGATTTTTGTACACGAAGTGAACAGGAGGTGGAGGTGCTGAGATTTTTGTGTGATAGAAATATCTGCATGAATAGGAATGAATCCTGTTACATAGGCTTGAGTCTCCCAATCTTTTCTTTATTTGGGAAGTGTTGCACTCTCTCTGTCTCTCTCTTTTTGAGACAAAGTTTTTTTTCTTTTTTTTTTCTTTTTTCTTTTTTTTTTCTTTTTTCTTTTTTTTGTATAGCCCTGGCTATCCTGGAACTCAACTTACTCTGTAAACTTGGTCTTGAACTCATAGATCCTACTGCCTCTGCCTCCCTAGTGCTGGGATTAGAGGCTCAGGTCACTAAACTCATTTAGTCTCATTTTCTTTAATACATAAGATACTCTGCAGATCTATGAAAAGGATTAGTATCCACCAACACCTTTAACGTATTTCAATGCTATTATTTATCCTCCAAACATGATAAACTCTCAATTTAATGACTTTCAAACTTGAATGACATTTACAGAAAGAGCTGCTTGTGAGTGGAGACCAGGTCAGAGACTGAAGAGCAGGAGCCGAAGGTCTAAACATGGCTTCTAGGTGCAGCCTCTCTGGGCTGTTTGGTTAAGAAGGGAATGCGTTTCCATGCAGACACACTGAGCAGCACAAAATACAGAGATTGTTTAGTCAGCCTTGTCCCAGTCTCCTCTGCTGTATGACTCTAGATGAGATCATGTAAATGTGCAATTTAATATCCTTTCCACTTAAAATTACAAAATAAGCATTTCTACATTCTATTAAAAAGTCTTTGAAGATACAGTTTTTATTGGCTATTGTTTTAAAACATGGGTTTATGAAAATGTAGAATTATCCCTCCATTGGATTTGAACTGTCTGATTTTTGTTATAAACAGTGCTCTGGTTAATAGGATTTACAACGTTGTTCACATCTTTACTTTACAAGACACATTTGTAGGAAGTGTATGTATATTTTGTCTTTTGTTTGTTTTTTGAGAAAGTGTTTCTCCGTATAGTCCTGGGTGTCCTGGAACTTACTCTGTAGCATAGGCTGGCCTCAAATTGAGAGAGTCACCTGCCTCAATATCCCAATTGTTGGGATTAAAGGTGTGTGCCACCCCACCCATCAATATCTGTGTGTAATTATACATACATATACATGTATATGTAAATATACATACATACACATACATATATATGTATGTATGTGTACATATTGGCTTTTCAAGACAGGGTTTCTCTATAGCTTTGGAGCCTGTCTTGGAACAAGCTCTTGTAGACCAGGCTGACCTCAAACTCACAGAGATTCTCCTGCCTCTGTCCCCCAAGTACTGGGATTAAAGTGTGTGCCACCCTCACTCAGCCAATATGTATATTTTTGTATATTTTTATGACTAAAAAAATATAGGAGTAAATTAAATACTACTCTTTGAGGATTACAATTTTCCAATCATGTGTATGTATATTGTTTGATTCTGGCTATAGGTGCCACAATAGAGAGAGAAGCTTATCAAGATGCTAAGCCTTCAATTTCCAGATGAACAGAGGGCTTCAGCCTTCTTGGAAGAGATTGACACCACACTAGTTCACTCTAGTTACATTATTCAAAAATATACATGGTTAAAAGAGTCTTGGAACAATTCCAGCTGTTGTAGTCATCTTCCTTTTCTGCTTGTGAGAGCAGATACCCCACACATTATGGAATGCCATAATCAAAAGTAAGAACCCCAGGTTGTCAGGAGTGTCTTCAGGGTTGGTACAGCTGCAAGCTCTTCAGAGAACAAAGTACACTCTCCAGAGAGATAACATTTCTTCAAGGTTTAAACAGTCTCAAAACCAATTTCTCAGCCTCTATTGATCAGCTCAAACTCAGCGAAGGCTTTACTGAAACATGTCACTCAAAGCCAGGCACAACGTCTTTACTATATACATCACTACATGTGTACATCATCATGTACGGAGTATAGTGGCTAAAACTGTGTTTGTGTTTCCAGGCATTGGTGCAGGAGAATTATCTGTATTCTGTCAATCATATATTTTAATAAAATATTGATTGGCCAGGCAGGAAGTATAGGTGGGAAAACCAGACAGGAAGTAGAAATGATGCAATGAGAACAGGAGAATTCTGGGAAGGAGAGAGTTGATTCCTCCCACTCTTGCCCAGATTACCGAGGAAGCATGATGTGACCTACCAACTGAAAAAGGTACCGAGCCATATGGCTAAAATAGATCAGAATAATGGGTTAATGTAAGTCATAAGAGCTAATAAGAAGCCTGAGCTAATGGACCAATCAGCTTATAACTTATGGAGACCTCTGTGTGATTTTTTTTGGGGCCTGCTGGTTGTGGGGTACCGGGTGGGACAGAAACCGCAACAAGAAGGCCCCTCATGTTACAAGGCATTTTCAGATAAATTTTGCAAAAGGAGTCATGGAAATCCAAGTGACACACAAGGTACAGTAAAATGTTTAAGTTGACCAGTGATTTCTTGTTACTAAGCAACTGTTTAATGACAGGGAAAGGATGATGGTGATCATTTCTCTGATAAGTCAAACTGTGGAACATATTAAATGACATTCCATGCACGTGAGTATAGAAGACACTGGTCTGTTTGTGAGGCTAGGGGCAAAAGGGAAAGGTGGGCAAGATTATATAACCTCCACAGTAGGATTTTTAAATTGCTGATGAGACGACCAACTCCACTGTGATGTGTATTTCCCAGACACCTTAAGAGACTATGTAAGCCTACACTTCTATCACATGTGGTTTGCTCTTTCTGAGTTCATCTTGTTTAGGCTTCACTGAAGCTTTGTTTTGAAACAAGGTTTTGCCATGTTGCCCATGATGGCCCCAATCTCCTAAACTTCAGTCATCCTCCTGTCCCAGCCCAGAGCCAGGGCCACAGTAAAAGACAGCCAATACAGTGATGGAGCAGCCTGCGACCTCATCTATTCTTGCTTCTAATGACTTGGTGTCTAATTCCATCTCTTCTTTTTCTGGGCAGGTTTTTATGGGCATCTCTCCAGCCCTACTTCAGGAATGCATGAAATGAATATTGGCCCGATCCTCTTCCAAGTGGCCATGGGGGACATCACTAAAGAAGAGGCAGATGTGATTGTCAATTCAACATCAAACACATTTAATCTCAAATCCGGTACTTAGTGAGATGGATTCTGTTTCATGCAGTAATTAGTGTGGTAGATGCTATGAAGAAGTATTTCTATAGAAAGGATGATTTTTTTTCAACTTGGGCTTGTTCCTGTTAACTAATATCTTTTGAAGTTATTTCAATGGGCTTTGCTATAACTGGTAACATTTTAAAATGTCTTCTCTGTCATTACTACTCTATGATGTGGTGTGTTGAGACACAAAGGTGTCTTTCTGGTCAAGTCTCCATCTTCATTTTCTTGTGTAGGAGTCTCCAAAGCAATTTTGGAAGGTGCAGGACCAAGTGTGGAAAACGAATGTTCTATCTTGGGTAAGGAACAATGCTGCTTCATGGAACCAGATTGTAAGTGGAGGATTGACTATAGAAGGCTGTAAGGAAACTGAGGAAGAGCCTTTGGTTGCAAGACAATGTATTAATCTTTTTGGGGTTTTGTTTTGAGACCCATGTATTCATCTTAAGATCATATATTTTATGAAAGAATTCCATATGAAAGAAAGTTAAAAGTGGAAGGTTATCTCACAGTTAAGAGAAATTAATCCCAAAATTTCAGGATACGTAGTATTTCATGAGCGTTTAATTCATAAATGTTTCCTCATGAAATCAGACATCTTGCTTTTTCCAAGTACAGGTCAGCGTCTGACTTTGAATCTGCTCATGTTTCACAGCTCAGCAGAACAATGAGTACATAGTTACTGAAGGTGGATCACTGAGATGCAAGAGTATTATTCACGTTCATGGTGGGAATGACGTGAAGAGATCAGTTTCCTGTGTTTTGGAAGAATGTGAACAACGGAACTACTCATCCATTTGCCTACCAGCCATTGGTGCAGGTCTGTAGCCACAGGCTGTCAAGGCTCCATCCCAAAGTGTCAGCTTCCCCATGGATTTGGTTCTCACTGGGTCTGGGTGATGACAGGGACACCTTCCCTAGGAGTAGACAGTTTCCTCTCTCCAAGGTACCCCATAAACTAGGGAATGAGCAAAGCCTGTGGGTTCTTTAAGAAGGAGAAAAATGAGCAGGGTGCATTTATGTGCACCTGCGGTCCCAATGACTAAAAGGATGGAGGCAGGAGGAGTGACCTCTGTCCCCACAATTGTCTACAAGGTTAGTCAAAGGCATCTGCTGTAATTTCTTGCTCCAGTGGTGAGCACCATTAACAGGGATAATCCAGATGGACTCTCAGTCTATCAAACCAGCTTTCCCAGGAGACGTTTACACTGCCTGTCATGTGACTTTGGCTGCTGTCGTTCACTTTGGGCTATTCCACAGTCTTACCTTGCCAGTGGGTTCCAGGACTTGAGAAACAAGATCTGGAATATTTTGAAGAAAGGAGTGGATCACCTCAGTGGCTGCTTTGAATTCTTCTGGACAACATAGATGGTAGAATTATAGACTACAACAAGGAGCTTACATTTTTGGGTGCCTTAGAATTACCTTAGTTTAAATTAGGTCCCTAGAGGTAGCTGGCAGAATCCCCATACATGCATAAAGTCTATCAGTGGCTCAGATTGTCTCTGTAAGGACCATATTGTTTCAAGGTATATTATCTCTTTTCTTCCCGCCATTTACTATCTTTGAAGACTCTAGTAAATCAAGAGGGAATTCACCTGGACTGTGGGAAGGGAGGGGCTGACTCTGAGAGCCTGGAACAGCTGAAAAGAACAGATGTGAATGTCACAAATCAGAACGGGTTTCAGGGTCTTGTCCTGGAGCATTGACCTGCAGACAGCACGGAACAGAGACTCCTCTCCACCATGTCTAGGATGTCAAAACTGTTTGATGATGTCATGTTAGAAAAATAGACAGCAATTAAAGTAGGGCCAGGCATTTTCTTTCCTGTGTCATCTGGAATTCCTTGTTTCTTTTGAAGGTGGATCTTAACTTTTTCTTCTTCTGTGTGTGTTTTTAAAGGAAGTGCTCAACAGGATACTTATTTAGTTGTTAAATCCATAATGGATGCCATTGAGGAATTTATTCAGAAAACATCAGTGCAGGCTGTGAAGAAAGTGAAAGTTGTTGTCCTCCATCCTCTTATTCTGGATATTTTTTATAACACTATGAAAGACAGAGAAGGCTCCCAGGCTTCTCCCCTGTCGCCACTGATGCCTAAGACTACCTGTGAGTTGTTTGCTTTTATCAGATAAATTTTCCTCACCTTGATGTTGAAGGGAATAAAAGAAAAATTAATTTTCATGTTCTCTTTAGCGTTTTTTGACTTTCCAAAGCACACTTCCTCCAAAGAGAACATCCTGTCTTTGGAGAAGAAAGTAAAGAAGAGAGATTTCCAGGTATGTGACAAAGAAGAAGACAATGTGGAACGCACGATCTCCTGGATACAGAATCTGATCACTCAGGAGCAGCATTCCTATCGCAGTGACGATGAGTGTGTCAGAGACTTTGGTGAGAAGGAGTACAAGAAGCTGAATGAGCTGCAGGAGAGGCTGGATGTTGTCATTGAGCTGGACCAGAAGGCACCTTTGATTGAAGTTGCAGGAATTAGCAGAGATGTGATAGAAGCTAGAGATGAGATTGAAAACCTGATCAGGAGCATCCGATTGGCTAAAGAGAAGGAAAGCCGGGCAGACTATGTCCTCACATTCGTGGAATGGCGATATATTGACAACAACGTCATACACTGTTTCGACAAAATAACTAATATGCAGTTGGAGGACGCTCGGAAGGGAAAGCACACAAGCACTGTTGTCAGAATTAATAATCAGGACTTCACAGTGAACTTGAGGGCGAACATGGCCACAGGCCCTCAAGGACAGAGTGTCACAGTTCAGCGCCTCTTAAAAGATGGAGGTAAGTTACATGTTCATGGGTGTCAGCTATTGCTGACTTTAAACTCTGAGTTTAACAGTATTTTAGAAACACAGCAGCGCTTTTTTTTTTTAAATTGTTTTTTGTTTTTTTAAAATCTGTTTAACAGTCCTAGCTGTCCTGGAACTAGTTCTTGTAAGCCAGGCTGGCCTCAAACTCCCAGAGATCCTACCTCTGTCTCTGGAATTCAGTGATTAAGGGCGAGTGCAGCCACCAGTCAGCTTGTTTTGTTTTTCACATTGTTTTATTACTTATCCATTGGCCTAGAACTCTTTTGTTTTGTTTTTGAAACAGTGTTTCACTGTGTAACCATGGCTGACTGGAAGTTAGTCTAGTTTAGGCTCAAATTCAGAGATTTACCTGCTTCTGCCTCCCAAATGCTGTGATTAAAGGCATGAGCCATCCATGGTCTGCTATATTAAATTTTAAAAAAGATAAAATTCAAATAACCCTAGTAGAATGATTTAAAGGTCGTGGTCTCTAAGTTTCTAGAGCATACATCATGGCCAGGAAAATACAGCATGGATGAGCCCAACAGCCCAAGAAGAACCATCTTAACTGTAACAATAGTTAATCTTGCATTTTCCACGTGGACAGTTTATACCGGATCAGTTCTTCTAGTGAGATAGATAACGGCTGCCTGAGGCAGAGGTAGAGAAGGAATAGTTTCAGAAGGAAAGCAGCCCAAGGTTCTCAAGAACACAAAAGTCAAGGAGAGGACAGACTTGTTAGAGTTGGCCACTGTGTCCATGATGATGACCAAGGGAAGTCCCCAATTCTATTACCATCTTCCCTTTCCTGAGTCAAAGGTTCCTGGGTACCAGGTCAGGAAGCAACCCTCAGGTTCCCTGTGGATCTGGTTCCCCGGAATAGAGTGGCTTTCTTGTGTAGGCTGTCATTCTTGCACTCGAACCACATGAGTCCCCTATGGCTTCCCACAGACTATATTCATCTTCTGTAGGATGAGTATGAATAACCCCCCCCCCAGACTCTAAGCAATCCCCATTTTAAGGAATAACATCATATTTGGTGTTCTGTAGTTCATCGCAGACAAACCGTACTACCCACCCACCCACCCACCTACCTCTTAAAAACGGAGTGAGGCAAATGAGAAAATACATGTAGACCACCCTCCAGAGTTACAAACTTATGCATGTGCAAATGACAGAGATTGTGCAAAACAAGTTAGTAATGAATTTGTTAAATCACATCACAGTAGAGGCTGTGTACTAAATGAAGGTGAGTTACAGCATGTAGTCAGTTCTCACACCTTAGCAAGACCAAAACAGGAGTAGGCAGAGAGGCTTCATCCCTAGGAAACCTTAACTCAGTACATCGATGGCTTTTGTCTACTTCTGGAGGAGGGTGCTGGGAAATGAGTCTCAGATATGTCAGACAAGAGATGTACCACTGCGCTATCTCACCTTAAATCGCCTGCTTCTTTTAAACAAGTTTTCCATATCATCCTGATACCAATGGTCCATGCTCCACACTTTTAACAACATACTTTTAGAAAGAAGGAATTTCCTGAATACATAGAGCTATAAGACTATAACATAAGAGGGAGGCAGGTTTTGTCACGGCATACCAGAAATTTATACAGGGGTCCTTAAATGTGTATTTTGCAGCTGAAATCCCTTCAAATTGGAGTGACATGAGGCAGAAGAAATTGTTTGTGGTCAGTCTGCAAACAAATGATCCTGAGTATATCATGGTGGCAAGCAAATTCCACCAGACCTGCCAGAAGTTTGTCATAGAGAACGTAAGTCGGCTTCTGAAGAGTTTCCTAATGGAAAAGTTACATAGTTGTATAAGTGATATAACCAATGTTCCCGAATAAACCCACTCATATATGGGTCTGAAGAGGTGGTCCATGGGTCAAGATTTTGTATTGCACTCTCAGAGGACCCCAAGTTCCAAGCTTGGTTTCCAGACCCACTCAGGTAGTTTATGACAGCCTGAAACTGAGGCACCTTACTAGTCAACCTAACTTGATGCATTAACTCCAGGCCGGTAAGGGAGCCATGGCTGTGTGTGTATGTGTGTGTGTGTATGTGTGTGTGTGTGTGTGTGTGTGTGTGTGTGTGTGTGCATGCATCCTTTTGTGCGCACGTGTGTGTTTGTAGAAGAGGAGGGGTAGAGGGAAGGGGCCATTCACACATGTAGAAGTCAGAGTGTAAATTTGTGGAGTCACAAATTCCAACTTCAGGGATTGAACTCAGGTCACCATATACTTACTAAGTTGTGTTAACGGTTCTAAAAATATTTCTGAACATAGGAAGCTGTCACTTGGCACTGAATTTGTGTGAGCAGAATTTTTACTTACAGGAGACAAAGATGTTGGGCAGTGGTGGTAGACACCTTTAATCTTAGCACTCGGGAGTCAGAGGCAGGTGGATCTCTGTGAGTTCGAAGCCAGTTTGGACTACAAAAGCTAGTTCAAGGACATGCCCTAAAGCTACAGAGAAACCCTGTTTTAAAAAAATCAAAAGAAGAAAAGAAAAGAAAAAAGAAAGTCAAAAAAGGGCTTTTGGCAACTTCAGAATAACTTAATATTTTATTAATTTATAGATTGAAAGAATCCAGAATCCAGCTCTCTGGAGGAAGTACCAGGCAAACAAAAAAATCATGGATGAAAAGAATGGCCATGAAAGAAATGAGAAACAACTCTTTCATGGGATGGAAGCTAGCTCTATTCCACATCTCAATAGCAATGGATTTAACCGCAGCTATGCTGGGAAGAATGGTAAGTAAGGAAGCAGTCAGATTCCCCAAATGGGCTGCTGTCTTAGAACTGCCCTGGGCTCCATTCACTGTTTCTCACATTGTGGTGGGCAGAGTAGAGTCCGTTTTAGCAGTAAACAGTAATATATATCTCAATTTCACCGAAGGGCTTGAATAGCTCTTTGAAGAGGAAAATTAATAATAACAATCATGATGATGATAAAGAAGAAAATATTCAAGAGTCAAGCTGATCATTCCTTTTACATTAGTTGACATAGTGGGCCAACATGTTGATTTATATGCTATATTTGAAGCTGTAGGGCGATTGGTAAAGAAAAGTCCCCAGACTATCTTGATACAAAATATACAGCTTTAATAAACAGAAGTAAGACTTACAACAGCTTACACCAGAATCCAAACGATCAGTCTGGATGCAGGAGCCAGGCGAAAATAGAACTAGCGGAGCGCACTTGCTAGGTTTATAGGCAGGCTTTTGCCTGAGGGTGGCACGCCCCCAAAACAGAATGTGATTGGCTGAACTCCCCTATCATGTATTGAACTCCTTTAAAATGTCTTTCTCTTTGCAGCCATGCTGTATGGGAAGGGGACCTATTTTGCTGTCAATGCTTCCTATTCAGCTGATGATAAATATTCCAGACCAGACGCCAATGGGAAGAAGTATATGTATTACGTGCGGGTTCTCACTGGGAACTACACAACTGGAAACACATCACTGATTGAACCTCCTTCAAGGGACCCTCAAAATCCTACTGACTTGTACGACACTGTCACAGATGATGATAAAAACCCAAGTTTATTTGTAGTGTTTTATGACAATCAAGCATACCCGGAGTACCTCATCACTTTTAGGCAGTGATACTTCAGGGCACCTTCATGCATCTGCTGCAAGACAGATTTTAGCAGTTTCTGCCTTACACTGTCTCTAAGAGCACAAGGTCTTTCTTTGCCGTGGACATGTTTCCTCAGCTGCTCCTCCATTGTGGAAATGAATCTACTTGAGAGTCAATCAACTTGAGAATTTAAATCAGGTAACAGCTGAAGCTGTGCTGTCTCAAATGTAACAGTAACATCCTCACGGACTTTCATAAAGCCACACAATTTGGGCTGCCACCAGTGGAACCGTGATAGAGTGACACCATGCCATGGGGACACACAGTGTCAGTGAGCCAGTAACCTCTTTCTTCACTAACAGTCCTGTGCCATGTGGGCTGGACAGCTCCAGGCAGGGCTATGTACAAGCTGGATGCTGACAGATGGCTCGTGGTCTGTGTGAACTGAGCCACAAGGAGGGACACAGCTCCAAAATCATAGCCACAATTGCCAGAGGCCCTTGCAATGTTAACCTCAATGTTCCAGGTACTTAGTAAAATTAATGGATGACGCCTGTTGCATCTCCAGGGGGAACCCTTCTACCCTGTGACAATGAGTGAATGCCAAGGAGATCCGCTAGCATCTTTCCCAGGGCAGGCCAGCTTGTGATGACTTCACAGCTTTGTGTGTAAGCCAATTAGTCAGGCTGCTAACTCAGTGTCTACTGGATGGTAATTCTTTCTTGTGGTACTTGGGACTGAACCTGGGGCCTCACACATGCCAGGCAATACTCTACCACTTTGCTACACAGACCCAGCCCTCTTTACTTCTTATGTTGAGGCAGGATCTCATTTAGTTGCACAGGCTGGCTCTGATATCCTTCCATAGCCTTGGTAGGTCTTGAACTCACTGTCTTCCTGCTTTGGCTACTTTTCTGAGGCCTGTGCCACCAGACCTGGCTAACGTTGTTCTTCTAATTTTCTCCTGTCAATTTCAGACTCAGTGCTCTTTATTGAGTGCCTAGACTTTGTCAGGTAGAGTGAGAGATGCTGTCACAAACCGCATCAATATTCCCATGAATAGTGCTTTGGGAAGAGTTTTCCATATTTCAGGGCTTAAGGGAACATGTTCAGAGTACAAGAAACATCCTTGTCTGAGCTCACCGAGGCAGGAACCCTGAGAACCAGCTTACTGAGTCTTGGTGCTGGTATACAGCCCTTCTCTGTTCCCACCACAGAACCTGGCCTTGAGAGAAGCAGGTGCTGTTTCGGGCGTCACTCAGTGGCCATCACACAGTGACTATCAATGAGTGGCCATTACACAGTGTTTATCACATGGTGGTCATTATATGTGACCTTCAAACAGTGACCATCACATGGTGTCCATCACACAATGTCCATCATTCAGTGGTCATCACACATTCGCAAGTGATCTATGAAGCGATCTCCAATTTCCGTAGCATTTTTCTTTCTGACTTTGATGAATTGGGTGTTCTGTAGGTCAAGGAGCTAGAGTTGTGCAATCTTTGCAGGTGGTAAATCCTGGGTATTGATCACACCATAGGGACCAACAGTGCACCTCAAGTGGAGCAAGGGTCACCATTGCTGCCACAACAACACATCGGCCTTGGAACCTCTGCTGCTCTTTCTATGTGGGCTGGCACAGACTGTGGCTTAGGAGGGGCTTGCTTCCTCTGCACTGGCATCTGAACTCAGTGCCAACAGTGGTCTAAGGAAATGGAATACAAATGAGAGGTCTGTTTTCATCTGCTTTTGTCCTCCAGTGGTTTAGTTAACTCAGGGCAAGACTGAATAGCCAGTTGTTACACTGTGGAATAAATACCCAACCAGCAAATTTCACAGTCACCTTCAGCCTTTCCTCACTTCTAGTAAAATTACTTGAAAAATGTCTCTTAGTGGAATCATTTTTCCCCTAAAGTGCAAACATGGGGAGGATCTGTGTAGGTCAATGACTTACAGTGGACACAATTAGCAGGACAACACCGAGGGTCTTTAAGGTACTCATGCTCAGTTGGAATTATGGGAGGGGCACCATGCAGGCTAAGGTTTAGAGAGCCTGTATCCAGTGAGCAGCCAGCCTGGAGCCCTAGACAGGTCTGGATAGCTCGGAGAAGGACCACACAGTCTATTCTCCTTAGTCACCTGAGAAACATGCTGAAGGCTCAGTCTGTGGTGCCTTTCATGCAGTACAGAATCTGCTTTCAGTGGGTACCTGGAGGTCCAACAGCCCTGACTCCCAGGGCCATGCCAGGACTTTGGGGCTCAGGTAGCCTTTCTATTCCTTAGTGCATAAACAGAATTAAAACCTCAACTCAGGGGTGGTGGAAAGGGCTCATACTATGGGATAATGGTACCCTCTAAAGATTTGTTTCTTATACTTGTTTAATGAAATACTGATTGGTCAGTAGCCAGGCAGGAAGTATAGGCAGGGTAACTAGGCAGGAAGTAGTGGTGGGGCAACAAGAACAGGAGAATTCTGGGAAGGGTCAAGGTCAGTCTGTAGTCATCATCCAGATATAGAGAAAGCAAGAGGTGCCTGCCTTGCCGAAAAAGGCAGCAAGCCACGTGGCTAACACAGTCAAATAATATGGGCTAATATAAATTATAAGAGTTAATAAGAAGCCAGAGCTAATAGGCCAATCAGTTTATAATTAATGTATGCCTCTGTGTGTTTATTTGGGACTAAATGGATGTGGACCTGGTGGGACAGAAAATCTATTTCAGCAGATCAGTGGTAAAGAGCACTTGCTGCTCTTGTAGAGGACATGGGTTTGATTCCCAGCACCCACATGGCAGTTCATGGCTACTTGTAACTATAGTTCCAGGGAGCCTGTGCCCTCTGAGGGAACTGCACACTTGTGGAACACATACATACATGTAGGCAAACACACATATTAAATTTAAAAAATATCCAGAATATACAGATCTGTTTTTGTGATGGAATCAAATCTAAGAACAGAAACAGCTTTGGCCACAGCATGCTCCATGCCAAAGCCACGGGTGGATCATTGCCTACACTGATTTCTCTTGTCTGCCTACTCAAAGAGCTAAGGAGTCTGCTGTGCTCCTTACAAGCTGAACACTGGTCCAAGTTCTGTGAATGAAGCACTAACCACATCAACCTCCCTATCCTCATGTAGACCTTTGAGGGATAAGAGAAAAAAGAAATAGCTACGCAGGCTGGTTGATGTCCATGTAAGTGTACATGAAGATTTGTCAGTACTCCTATGCAGACATGAGACAGATCCCCCTTTCTACCTCCCTTCTCACTCTAGACACTACCGTCTGATCATTTAAAACATCCCATCAGAATGTACGCAGCGATATATAGGAGACAAAAATGCCAAAACTTTATAAAGTCTCACCCTGAAACCTCTGGGGTAACTAGTTTGGTAAGTCTGTGAGAAGCCTGCTGGCTAATTCAATAGACTACGTCCTGTTAAAAGAGGCTCACAGCCTCAAAAGTTTGCAGCAACAGGCTGATTGGGAAGGAGGAACATCAGTCAAGACAGGCAAACAGTGGCTCCAGTGGACCAGAGGAGAGCAGCTCTGCAGGTGGCTGGTAATCAACCCATTTTACAAATCACGGTTACCAGTGCTGGGCCAGCAGTGCTGAGACTGGGAGAAGGGAGCAGCGAGGCTCTGCTCGAGGCCTATGCTGGGTGTCTTCAGTGCTGTGCTCTGTTCCTGCTTTCTGCACCACACAGTCTCACACCCACTCTGCCACAGCAATCTTAAGGCCGCCCTAGATGACGGGAAACAGATGGCTTGTGGAAGTCCAATAAACATTTACAAGAATAAGTCAGCACAGTGGCATACGCCTTTAATCTAGGCACTCGGGAGGCAGAGGTAGGTGGATTTCTTTGAGATTGAGGCCAGCCTGGTCTACACAGCTCTTCCAAAGTAACCAGAGTCACTCAGTGAGCTCCTGTTTAAAAAAAAAGACAAAAAAAAAAACAAAATGAAGATGGACATTTTAAAAAAGAAGAATTTCTGAGTGACAGATGCCTGAAAATAGCTGACCCTCAGGAAAATCACACTGACACTCTGGGAAGACAGTCTGAGAATTGCACGTGCTGAGGAAACAGACTGACAGACAAAGCCTCACTAACGATAGGAATGCATGTTGTGAGGGACACTTGGAAACACACTGGCATTTCTGATCACCTTGAGTCCTGTGTACTCCACAGAAAAGCCACCATGTCATGTCTATTCACCTTCCTGGAAAAACTCTTGCACATGTATATCAGAAGACAAGTACAAGAAAGATTCTATTCATGAATGCAAAAAGCTGCAAACTATTTAATTATCCACCAACAGAACAGCCAGTAACAGCTACTCAGTAGTACCTTGATACAAGAGACCAACAGTCCACAGGAAGATGAGAAACGTTGTACCTAACAACAGTCAAGCCTGAGAAACATGGTACTGAATTTATAAAGGAAATCCCCACAGTGAGGCCTCACTTCATGCTGACGTGGATGCAGCATAAACAACAGATACCCACAAGTGTGGTGAGGAGGTGAGGAACTCAATCTACAATGGCTGATGGGCAGGTGAAATGGTGCAGAACCCTGGGAAGTGGACAGGGAACTAACAGGGGAAACAGAGAAGTAAGGTGGGGTGTTTTGGGGAGTGGATAATTTTTGGGTCAAGCAGGCTAGGCTTTGATGCCCAGGTGTTCAGTCAACACAAGTCTAGATGACACAGTGGGAAAATCCCAATATGCTGTTGGCATCAAAGTCAGTGTTGATGTTAGGAGAAGATGACATAGCAGATGGGACTGCTCCTCAGTCACTCAGTTGTCAGCCTCAAGAACATAGGCTGAGAAGAATTCTGTGTCAGGACTACATCAGAACTCAGTAAGCAGACATGCGTTTGTACCTTCCTATGAAATGTCCATGTAACAATGGGTCACATGGTTTGCCAGAGCTCTCCAGACAGAGTACCGGGAGATATGTGGATGGATGTACATAGCTAACAAAACTAAATTTTCTTTTTAAGCAAGAACATGAAAACAGATGACTAGCCTGAAGGAAGGCTGGGGAAGGACAAACCATAGTAAGTCATTAGTATTCTAATTTGGGATTAATTAGATAGTTAGTAGATTCATTGATACTATATTATCTTTTAAAAATAGATTTATTTTTATTTTATTTAGATGTGTGAGTGTGTGTGTGTGTGTGTGTATGTGTGTGCGTGTGCACACGCAGTGCCTGTAGAGGCCAGAAGAAGGTGTTGGGTCCTCTGGAGTTGAAGTTAATAGACGCTTGTGGGTCACTTGACATGGGTGCTAGGAACTGAACTCTGCTTCTCTGAAAGAGTCCTACATGCTGCTGACTGCTGAGGCACTGCTCTGGTCCTTGATACAATATTATCTTTAATCTTACAATTATGTTGTATATACATTCCATTTATATGTGAATATATAGTACAAAGGAATATCAAAGAGACAATTACAGAATGAGAGGAAATCTTTAAAATTATTTTTTCTTAAGCTAAGTTGAAATAAAATACTGCTATAATTGATAGTTTCTGGAATGCAAAAATTCTGATGTGAGTGGGGAATAAAAGCACTACTGAGAATATCTGAGAACACATTTTACTCCAGAGCATGTAAGGGTATTATCTGCATTTTCCACAGTGAAACTGAGAAGGGTTAAATACTGTACCACCTGCACAGATCTAGCTCCCATTGAAAGACTCAGGACAGGGACATTAGAACGAGTTCGCAGTGCTAATTAGTTTGAGCTTCATTATTATGCTGCTGAGCTGGGTTCAGTTACAACCACTGTTTTATAAGTGCAGAAACTGAACATGCCTGGCGTGAATCATCTGCTAGGGACATGGGGCATGTCAGGTGTGGCTCTTGAAGTGAACTCCATTTTGCAGTGAACTGCAGCTCCAGCACTTACTGTGAAGTTGTTATCTCTCAGCATACTTCTCACCTAAGCCCTAGGGGCTATGTATCCCCTCTTTCTTAAGTCCTTAAGCACAGCTTGCTTCCTGTTCCAGTAATTCTCAGGATCCACCTACTCTAAAAGTAGGGAAATGTGTTACAGCTGTGGAGTTGCAAAGCTATCCTGACTTACCAGGAAGCCATTGTCAGATGTATCTTATACTTAGAGCTACAATAGGACAGCTCTGGAGGGGTAGAGCCACAATAGGACAGTTCTGGAGGGATAGAGCTGCAACAGGACAGATCTGGAGGCTGGAGCCACAATAGGACAGCTCAGCCCTGGAGGAAAGTTGTCCTGACTATGGAGAAACCAGTCTACCTGAATCTGGGGTGCCATGGGGGATGGTCTCCGGCAGGCTATAGCAATCCTGCCCTTCTAGAGAGACCCTACTGCTGAGCTTTGCTCTGTTTCCTTAAAGAAATATCATAGCAGAGCTTTCAACATCTTCTGCAGCCCAAGATGTTATTTCTTTTGTTAGCACTCTGCTAAAAGGGAAGCCCCTGCAAAAATGTAGCAATCTCCTCCAGCTCCACAAAAAGTTGTTACTTTTTCTGCTCAGGCTTGCTCAGCTGCGTTCTTGGGGAGCTGCACATCAACCTTCTTCTGTTCTGCTCTGCCTAGATCAGCCCCTCTAAGGGAGCATCTCACCAAGGTTTTTCTGCTCAGTACCCTAAAGAACATCCCAGTCAGGTTCTTCTATCCTGCACCAGCAAATGAAGATCATCACCCAAGACTCTTTTGAGAAAGAGATTTATTTGGGAAGAAGGAGTCCAAGAGAGTGGCTGCCTCTGCCAGGAAGAGATAAATGATAGCCTGCCTCCAACTGAACAGGCAGAGAGGCTTATATATGGTTCCTTAGGTGCAGTGTTTTCCCGGGTGAAAAGGGATTGGTTAGTTTTTCCTGCTCAGGGATTGGTTAGTTTAGTTG